AGCTTCAATAAGTTTGTTTACTTCCATTTCAATTTGAGGAATTAGGTATGGTCAAAATCTTCTTTGAGGTTGCTGGATTGGTCGAACTCCATGTCTTACTGCAAGGTGATGTACTGCAACCCTCAAATCTAACCCCAACATTTCTTTGTAAGATCACGCAAATACCTCATTGTATTCTTGAAACAAATGGATGTATTCTGATTCCTCTTTTTGACCGAGAAGAGCACTTACAAACACTGGTCTTGGGTCTTCTATAGTCCTTAAGTTTAATTGTTTCAAGTTATTCACAGTAGCTTGTCCCCCCCATTCTTCAAATGTCGGTGGGATTGGTTCAGGTTTATCTGTTATGACAGAGTTTTCAGACTTAGGTTTTGAGCTTGGAGCTTCTTTAAAAGCTATGTGATTAACAATGATTTCTTCTTCATCCTCGTTATTCTTTAAAGAAGGATAAACTTTTTGATACTTTCGTCTTTTCCTTGATCGCTGAGGTTTTGGATTTGGATTATAAGTTTTAATTCCAAGTCGAGAAAATGCGGATTGTCTTTGAGATGGCTTTTAGGGAGCTTGTGCATTATTATAAATTTGGGTAGAAGAAGAAGGATCTTCACTTAACCTTTGGAAGATGGAAGTTTGACCTTTTATGTCGACCATTGGGAACTGTTCCTCTTTTAACCTTTTAAACACTGAAACTCTGGCATTCTCCTTTCCAATTCGATTTAACACTAAAGGTTTCGACTGTTCAATTTTTTCTCATGTAACTTCATATATCTGAAACCTGATCGGGTTTGTGGAAAACTTCTTGACTTTAATCTTTCTTGACGGATTTGGATTGTATCCCAAATCATAACTAGGTCGCGACATACGGGTTCCGTCAAAATCAGAAGGGATAAGCCCACTCGAAGGACAGCATCAAGATCACCTAATTTACAAAGTTTTCCTTTCCCAAATTCGACATTCTCAAATAACTTTTTGACTTGAGAATCGTAACATCCTTTAAAAGTCTGTTTCGACTTATCGGCTCCTTTAGTACCCGACATGTCTTGTTTGGATAAGTTGGAAATACAGAGCTTTAATATGTTTGAAATATATGTTGAAGCTTCTGATGTAGATTTACGTTCTTACGGGACTGTCATGAGTTGATGGGGGCAAAGTAATTTTGGAATACTAGGTATTGGAAGAGTCAGCTCTTTTCTCAATACCTCAACATCGGTCGATTCTATTTGAGATTTTTTACATTTAGAACCCTTCAGATGTAAGTCTTGATTTACCTTTAATAAGTCGATGAGGTTGAGCAACACCAGATATATTATCATCGTCTGCAATTTCTTTAGTTTTGAATCC